TTTTGATGGTATCCATCTATATATAAAGGATATTTTAACCTCCGTTTGCGGTACCCAACACAGCAGCAGTAAGGACTTGTCGCGCGGGAAATCCCGTAAATCTGCTGTACCCGCGTTCGTAATTCCGCGGGTTAAACCCGCAAATATACGGCATCGATCGCGAGTCCCCCTTACTGCTGCTAAGTTTCTAACTTGAAGGCCGACTTTCCAATAACTATCAATGTAATTATAGTGGGGTTATATATTCTGATTCAATCGTACATTGCTACGTCTTCTGAGGACAGCGTAGACAACGTAACGCGGTTCTTCATGTTGTTAAACGCGTGTGGAGATCAGTTAACGACTCCAAACGCTTGTGAGGCTTGGATGACGATCATTAAAGGAGTACTGAGGATTCTAGAGGACAAATGCGACCTATTTCTGTTTGCCCCCGATCCACGCTCGAAAACTGCCCCGTCAACCAAAAACCAGAAATTGAAGCACTTTTGGGAAGACTCTGAATAAATATACGTTCACAAGGAATTAGAAATTGAAGCACTTTTGGGAAGACTTTGAATAAATATACTGGAAGCTGAACTACTCTGAAAAGCTGAATTTTTTTTACTCAGTGTACGTCTGTTTAACTTCACTATTATTGTTAAACCTGAGTAGATTAGTGAATTTTCACCAACGATATGTTTTATATTTGTTTGAAGTTTCGTGAACAGAGATATGACAACAAAAAAGGCCAAATTTACCTGCCAACATACATTTCTTTGTAAAAGCTGTAAAGGTTCAAAAACTCATACATTCTCTGGATTATCGACAATCTTCACGAAACTTTAAAATTTTACGAATAAGAGTAAATGAGTAAATTTTACGAATATCAATATGGCAATGCAATCTCAATTTTTGCGTTGCATGACGGCAACGATGTCTCGCAACGCAAAAATTGTTGCAGAAAATCAAAAAGTTTGAACTTTTCTCTGCAACATTTCCGGAATTTCGAAAACTAATTTTGAAACTATTGATGGTATAAAGGCATTTTTCAAGTATGTTTTAGAAACCAGGGTTAAGTTATGAGTCACAAAAAAAACCTCGAGTCATTTCGATGTTTGGTTCCCGAGTTATGAAGGTTGAGTTTGTGTCACGCAATACCGTCACGTCTATCTAAATAGCGATCAAAGTAGTCAAAAAAATTACTCTAGTTGAACGATTTTCCCTTAGACACGTTTTAAATATCTAATTAAAGTACATTTAAGTGAAATATAGTCAAAATTACTAAATATTCAATCATCTTAAGCCTTTGAAATTTCGTCCGCCATGATGGTGTACGTACCAACTTGGAACACCAAGATGGCCGCTCCATACATTTTAACCACAAATTGCGTCATGTTTACTCCCCTATAAATCCGCAACGAAATGCTTTACAGCCTCGAAATTTGGCCAGAATATGTAGTTTTGACCGCTTTACAAGATTATGAAACTTTTATTTTATTATAATGCGAATTTACGCTTTTGAAATTTGATGACGTAGGTGAAAACCAAGRATTCAGACTAGCCAATCAGGATTTAATAATGATTTTTACCATTAATATCCTTTTATTAAAGTTTATTTCAAACCTTTTTGATATGGCAGGCGTTGTAATTTTTCGCTGCAACAAAATGTGAAATTGCGTTGCCAGCGCGAGAAAAAATTGCAGCGTGTATCGGCAGCTTTATATAGCGCCATATCTGAGACCACATTGCGCCTTACAAAATGAAGTCGGAAACGAAATATGTACATGTATAATCATGATAATAAACAAGTGGTAATGTGTATTWAAAAATATTAAAAACAACAACAACAACAAACAAACACCACAGCAAATTTTAAACTCTTTTTTTTTTCTGTTAAAACTAAAAAAAATTTTTTTTCGATAGTGTGACGTCACAGTGAAAATTTTTATGTTTATATCTTCATAAAAAAACTTTCTTATTCTCGAGATCAAAAATTCATGTCCTTCCGAGAAATGATCATGTTCAAGACCCTTCACCCCATCAATCAATCATTTCCGCTTGGGTTACCTGTGGTTTCTCCATTTGTTGACCTATGAGGGAAAAAACTAATTAAAATTGAATTGATTAAAAAGACTTTAGTAACATTTCAACATTAATTAAAGAAAAAATATATATGTTTAGTTTTTACCCTTTTAAATACTTATTTTCATATAGATATTTACATCTAAATCCATGCATGACATGACAAGAAAGACGGAGTACGTACCAGGCTCCTTCTTCCTCACTCGGTCAATTCCAACATGGCGGACAAGAAGGAAAACAATGCAGAGGAAGAAAGGCATCGATTTTTACAGTCTCTTTGTAAGTATTTTTTAAAAAAAGAGAAACAAATTGGTCAATTTAATAACAATTTTTGTGAAGTGGGTATAAATTTTTGCTTTCCAAGAGAGCTTCTCTTTAGTTAGTCCTGCTTTTAAGCCTGTCAGTTGGTGTGACCTTTTGTTGACTTAATAATTCACGTGTAGTGAGTGCTGTTCATCGTGATAATTCACACACTTAAGTATTTATTATATGAACACTTCAGTCGTTTAGTATAATGTGTATTCTTGTGCGTTGGGTTTGTAAAGTCTTTCGAATTCGTACTTTATTCAAGTCATTTCAATTAAATGAGCTGTTAGCTAGCTATGGCTTTAAATGCGAGGGCCGGGGAGACGGGGAGTATATAAGGTTATGTGTACCAAGTGAAAGGTAGTGAGTGGGTTTATTGTTTAAGAATGTCTGAATATTTATATATTTTTTGTGTTTTGAATATGAGTTATGTATCTGGCTATTTTCTGGACCACAGAGGGGGGTAAAGGGGCAGCTTGTGCTACATGGCAATAAGATGTAATATTAAACATGGGTTATTTACAAGTGATAAGTATCTCTTTTTACAGTGTCAGTGGTTGTATGCTTGGTATTAATCAGATTTTGGTGCTCATTTGAATAGACAATTTCCAAGATGCACAAGCACTGTCAAAAGTATTGTGTGTTAAGATTCAAAAGCAAGGCATTTTGGGCAAGATTTTATGTGGGCTATATATGAAGAACACATACAAAAACTTTGAAATTATGTTGTTAAAGAAATATTTTGAAATTTCGTTTTGTTCAGAACCGGGATTATGACCTTTTTTTAAAAAAATATAGCTCACATCAGACGAAATAATTTCTTCAAGGGTCGTAGAAATCGGCTAAATGTATTCAGGTAACTCTGTGATATCCAAAGGTTTCTTATGAATACTGCCCAAAAATGCCTTGTTTTCATGTCTGTGCTTGCAATATTTATGAAAGCACTCGCTCATCTCGGAAATTCTTAAATTTAAATATGCACAGTAAGAACGACATTGCTCTGGGGTTGAGAATGGTCTTACCTGACCTTACTGTATGATAATTATATTTGATTTGTACTTACAGTGAATAGAGGTCCCAATAAGAGACAGATTAAACCAGTAGAAAACAGTCCTTTGCTGCAGTTTGTGCTGGGAGAGGATGAAGAAGATGAGGAAGAAGATGAAGACTTTGAGTTTGATGAACATGCTGAAGGTAGAAATAAGGATGGTGGACCATATACCACCATGACACCCTCCTTTTCCAAATAAAGAATAAATGTGGCCTTAACCTCTTAAACTTTTTTAAAAAATTATTATATTCTCAAATGATGTTTTTTCTAAATTATTATTTTCTCAAGCAATGTTAATTATTAAAAGTGTGTTATTATGTGGCTAGCTGGATCAGGAAGTGATTATGATGAACAAGATATGGATTCTAGCAATGTAGACAACCGAAATGAACCAGAGGACAATGATGGTGATAGCGAAGACAGCGAAGAAGAGGTTGATAAAGGACCAACATTATCAATTGGAGATCTGATAGCAGCAATGCATTCAAAGGTAAACTATTGATTACTGATAGAAATAAAACCAAATTTTATCAAACCCTCAAACAACCTCTGGGCTCATCAAAGTCAGGGCATGGCATGCTTAACCCTTTGGGCTGTTCAACGTCAGAGCACAGCTAACTCACAGATCAAACCCTGAAACAACCTCTAGGCTTAACAATGTCAGGGCATTGCTAATCCACACATCAAATTTGAATTTTGCTTTTAAGGTTTTGCAAATGAAGGAAAATGCATCAAACACAATCAATGATCACAACACAACAATAATCAAATCTGCATCTTGATGGAGGGTAGGGAAGGGAAGAGAGGATGGGAGTGGTAGGGATGGGAGGAGGGGATGGAATGGGATGGGAGGAGGGGAYGGGATGGGAGGATGGGATGAGAGGAAGGGATGGGAGGAGGGGAAGGAAGAGGGAGGCATCATTTACCCTAAATTGAACTCAGCATATTGATTCCCACATTATTTTAATAAAAATTAAACTACATTGTACTGTATGTACATTGATTTCATGAGTGTGTGCATGTACTTTAACAGAAAGACCAGAAGCTAGAACCTCTCAAAGCATCTTCTGATGTGGTCATCTGTGGTATATGTATGGATGATGTCAGGTAATAACATTAATAATCCCTATTTTACAATAATAAAGTATATAATTTTATATAGTTTTAAATTTAAATTATACTTAATCATTTAGATAAAAATTTTCAGTCATATTTTTACTATACTGTATAAATTGAATTGTTTTTTCAGTGATGAAGGAGATGAAATTGTTGAGTGTGACAACTGTGGGATCACTGTCCATGAAGGTTTGACTATGTTATTAAAGGGGCACTTGGTTTAAAACACCCCAACTTTTCAAAGTCCGAATAATTGAAGTATTTGAGGATAATTTGAGTCAATTATAATTATGTAAACCAGATTAGTGAAAAATTTTCACCTGGGAGCTACTTGCAGTTGAGAAATATTGGGTTAAAAGAGAAAAGAACAATAGGGTTGAGTAAATGACGTCATTTACTCACAATTTATATGCTGAATAAAATTGATAATTTTTATCCAACACGTTTTACTGAGAAGAAAATATGTTGCTTGGCTACTATTGGGGCCATATAGATAAGTTTAACTACGTTTAAAGTCATTTCCAATTTTTATCCATTTTCATCCAAGTGCCCCTTTAAAAAACTTTATAAAGCTGGATACTTTCATTTTTGGCATCTAAATAGATGATGCATGTACATGTAGYAAATTTGGTACTTCTATTTGACATACTATTTGCTTATTAGTTCTTATAATTTTTTTAACTTCTTTTTTTATAAGTTATCAAATTATCTGGTCATACTCTACATCATTTCATTGTTTATCATTACTAGTTAAGAAAATACAAAAAAACATACAAACTCAAGAGTTCAAATATTAACTATTTCACATGGCCCATGATAAAAACTTACATTTTTGACTAATTGTTTCAGGTTGCTATGGTAATATTAATGAACAAGGAAGTGAAAGTGACAAGAGTAATGATACTGACTCGCCAACAGAGCCTTGGTTTTGTGATGCATGCAAATCTGGAGTTCAACCTGTAAGTAGTATGTCAGAATAACACTTTTGATAATCAGTGGTGGTTTTGCCCACAGGACAAGAATAACAAAAATGCACAATCAATGGGTATTATTTAATTTTTTTAATTATTTTTTTATTTTTTWTTGAAGAGATATACTAGCCATTCCAAGGTTGATAAAACTGGGTCGAATTGGAAATTTATATGTTGCTTAAAATCACCTCAAAATGCACTGCACTGCAAACTTAACACAGTTTCCCCCACAATTTGAAATGGCCAATATCATGGGGAGATTTGTAAAGGTAGGGAGTCCAAAGCTTCCCCTCACAAATCCTCTGTTGGAAAGCAATAATTGAGGTTTTCATAAACTAGATTAATCTTGTTTAATCCAATATGATCTGTGATCTTAGGATTGTGAACTTTGTCCTAATCTTGGTGGGATATTCAAAGAAACAGATACTGGACAGTAAGTGTAGTTTTATAGTCATTGAATCTTTGATGCTTTCATCAGCATGCAGCACATTGGGAGGCAGCTCATTTTGGAGGACATAGACCCCTTGCAGCACATTGGAGTGCAGCTCTATCTTGAGGACATAATAATCTAGGTTTCCAATTCTCATGAGATTGAAATCGTTTTTTTCCTCCAAATTGAGCTGCTTTGACATCACATTTAAAACTGAGTCTCATAGCCTGCCATAATCATGTAGTTGGTTTTAAAGATGTGTTTTTTTCCAAGTTCTTGAATACTCCAGTTTTAAATACTCTTTTGCTCTGGTGAAAGTCCATTAAGGTGCTTGTAGTTTTGAAGTTGCATATTCTTTTCTTTACTGGCATTAATTTAGGAATATTTTGACAGTGAAATGAGGCTTACCCTGAGTAAATGAGTCTGTAATTAAGAAACACAGAGCTGCAGTATCTGAATCATATTTTAGTGTAGTTCCAGATAATCAAAAAATCTATCCCAAGATACATGTACTTTGTATTTCTACTTTCAGAACACTGCATGGCCCCTCTTGAATAAATAAACAAACAAACAAACACACTCCACACACATACTCCAGGGAGGGAACAAGCTGCACATCAAACAAACTCAACTCAAATATGTGACTGATCTGAGAATGGAATCAAAAATCCTACTTGTCTGTCTACATACTGTCTACATACTGTCTAGTACATACTGTAGCAGTGAGAGATTGCCAGCTATTTAGAAGCATATGCCACCCTTGCAGACTCCCAAGAGGGCTTRGAATGTATTTGAAGAACATTACACTACATAAGTCTAGGGGCAATTTCCATTACTGTCCATTAAAGGCAAAGCAATTGGTCTGGGTCGCCAGTTCTAATGGTACTTGTCAGTTTTTAGAACAGGTTGGAGCTGTGTTGGTCCAGTTCTAAGGACTGACACACACCATTTGAGAAATGAGTGCTCAGACTACCAACTTTAACTTTAATGGCAAAGGGCCCTACTGAGATAAATACATGTGCAGTATAGATGCTAATCTTCACCTGTATCTTTGATTCAGATGGGTTCATTTGCTTTGTGCTCTCTACACACCTGGAGTGGCTTTTGTGAAGCCTGAAAGCCTGGAATGTGTTACCCTGTCTGAATTACCTCTGTATAAGTGGGGTGCTAAGGTACAATACTATTGTGATTGTTAGTTGATTACATGTATAATTTATGTACTATATACACATGTCACAACCACAGGAACTATCTTTTCTACCCTCACCTCACTTTGGYGAGTTAAATAGTCCATTGCAGTTAACCTATGGCATACAGTACATAATAATGTACTAGATTACCTTCCCCTCCCAACATGTTGGATAGTCTCTACATTTAAAACTTGTGGATGGAGAGATGAGAGACACAATGAACACAATACAAGTAACACTGAACATGATATGACCTCTCAAACCTCCAGTACTGGAATCTGATGTATTAATACGAGCCACCACATAACTTAACCTTCCCTAGCTATATAAGTCTCCTGCACAGTCGTAGTAAAATATGTTGAAAGTTATATTTGCACTTTTTCATTTTGACATAATTTTATGTCCAACAACAAAATGTTTAATCTCATGGTGTAGTGTTTCACAATGGACATACATTTATGCCCAGAGACTGATATTTCTCATGGTG